TATATATATATATATATATATATAGGTTCACTCAGAAATGTTATGTTGTTATTAATCACAAAGCTACACAAAGAGCTATTTGTGCTCTGCTCACCACGAGTATCGAAACCCAGTTTTTAGCACTATAAGTTCACAGACATACCACTGTGCCACTGGGGGCCAGATATATATATACACACACACACACACACACACAAACTGCATCCCGTCATATGACGGGAAATAATCATTAATTTTTCTTCTCAAAATTACATCTAAATAAATGTTTTATGAACAAGTTCTTTTTGGTTTTTGTTTTCTAAAAATTAATTATAATCTAGTAACAATATGTGTATGGAGAATGATTATCCTATTTCTAGTATTTCACGAAAACAACATTTTTATGTATATTTAGTCATCTCCTTGATGTATTGCTTGATTAGCATTTTGACTTCTGAATGCTTTTAAGTTATGTTCAAATGTTCTTCTTGATAAATCCTTGTAAATTTAACCATGCGAAAAACTGATTCTCAAAGATATATTCCTAGTTAGACAACTGTATGACCTTTGCAAATTATTAATTGTGATGGTAAAAGCAGTGAATTTTATTATAAATTTCTTAGTCTTCTCTTTGGACTGTCTTTCTGGTTTTGGCTTTGTTAGCCTGCTGAGCTGAAGAAGCGCGCTTTAATTTGGGCATTTTGAAAATTGAAATGTGCTGCGGGTAAAACATGGTTGTTATCATAGAGTTGTAACCGAAGGTACCGATTGGTCAAAATTTGGTGATGTTGCGACAGTGTGTTTCCTTGACAACCAAGCAAATATAATGGGGGATTGTGTTTATGGTTTTTGTGCGCCAGCAATACCAAGCGTGGGGTGCGCGCATACCTGGTTCCATTTTATTATTCATCAGAATTTCTACCATCGTACCATAAAATTTAATTATATGCCCAAAGCAGCACATCGTCCGTTTTATATATACATACGTGGCTGGAAGAATTTTAAAAGACAAACTTGCTTGCCACGGCAGAAAGCTCCGTCGTTTGATACAAGTTGTGTGTTGATCGGTATCGCATCGACCGAGATATCGGTATGACAGACGGACGGCTTTTGGTCATTATATAGTATATATATATGTGTGTGTGTGTGTGTGTTTCTTGGTTCAGACTATTTAAGTTGTGTTATAATTGTTTTGTTAAGGATGAGAAAACAAGCCGTTAGAAGTTATCTGTGGACGTACCATAAACCAATTTTTTTTCCCACATGGATATTATATTTGCTAGATATGTGGTGCCATCTGTCCTTCGTTATAGAACTGAAAAAGTAATAGATAAAAAGTGCCAAAGAAAAAAAATACCCGATACTAAGCGGCTTGAGAAAAATATTTCTTCTGCTTCTCCTGTATAAACTTGATTATGTATTTTTCTAGCCTTTAACCAGCTATCTTGTACATTGATCACAATGCGTGTGTTGCGCGTGGAGAGAAAACAAGAACATGGGGGCGAGGCCTAGTGTCAAGTTAACTTGTTATGTTGTAAAACCCTCACACTGTTTTCTTTTTCTGCACCTTCCTGCAGGTAATTCTGCTTGCAGTATGGCACAATATGTTTTAGTTTGTAGTTGTAGTGTTTTACTAAATATAAAACGTTAGTGATTACTGCATATTTTCAAGCCATAATTTTGTTTTTAATAAATAAATTTTTCTATCATTTAGTGTATTTTTGAACAACTTTCTTTAAAATAAACTTATTGTAGGAAACATGTGTACTTCTGCCATCGATACTTACTGAGGTCAAAGTCACAGGATTGGTGATATTGTTTCTTGTTGCAACCAGATATTTTAAGCAACGGGAAATATAATAATATGTATATATATATATATAATGACGTCATGTATACACTACATTTACTTAACAAAACTAAATTGTTCTAAAATATTTTTCTGTATTAATTTTTAAATATTTGATATAGTTGATAAACAAGTAACAGCCAGGAAAGTACAATTTTCGAAGGCCCGCAGCTATTCAAGTTTAACAGTTCTCCGGAATATTACTTTGTTCTATTCTTCAAATACTTGTATCATTTGTCACAGTGTGACTAGATTATCTATATCTATCATTCGTCTGACATCATTATTCGCGGTAGGTGATATAGCAGCTGGCATTTTGTCTACAGGTTTAGGTCAAAGAAATTGAATGCTAAGCGGCTGTTTGATGAAGTCATCAGTCTAATTGAGCTTTCTCTCTCCTTATGTGTCATCAGGCCCACGTCGAGACCCACCGTGAAGGGAGCGCCTCACCGAATGAGAAAACGAGCCAGTGTGCCTTTTGCCATGAGTTCTGCCCTAGTCCAGGGGCTCTCCGACTACACGTGGAACAAAGCCACCCCTCCGAGGCTCAAGGCAAATGCCCAGAATGTCGAGAAATCTTCCCTTCACTACAAGCCTTGGTCCACCATAAAAAGGTAAATCGTGTCTTTTTGCCCCAGGAGTTCCACATTATGACTGGTTTTAAGAAGTGTTTCGTTCCGGGTAGTTTATCAAATTCGAAAATCTTCAGCCTTCTTGGCTTTTGTCTTGTGATCCGCAATCTACTTGCTTCTTAGAAGTATTTCAAAAACACATGAATAGATTTGATGTAATGTTATCATATATATATATATATATATATATATCGTTTTCTTCTAATAAAGTTTTGCATTTTCTGATAGTTACGATTTGTTACCTTAAACAAAGCAGTGAATACACCCCCCCCCAAATCAGATCCATGAAGTGTAATGCCACCTGATGCATATAACGACTATTTATTAAATATATGAGTTATTTTATGACAAATCAATAATGACTTTGTCCTCTCTTATGTGACTTCTAAACAAGACTTATTGTGGGTGAACTAAACGAGGTATTATTTTTATAAATAAAAAGTTTTGTGAATATAATAGCAAGTGCTTGTTTCCTAAATCACAAACAAAGGGAGCATAGTGTGTTAATTTCAAAAACTAGTGGTTTAAAATGGTTACACACTTTTTTATGTGTTAATCTCATTTCAATAACAAAAGACATTTTGAAATACACAACTGTTATTTTTATTTCTTAATCGAAAGCTCCCATGATATATAAATTTCATTTTAATTGACATTTTCTGCATGCACTCCCGTTGCTCAGCGGTTGCCTTCAGGGTTAATCTCGCTAATATTCGCGATTCAATCCCTCCCATGAACACAGCAGCGCAGATAGCTTTGCGTTTAAACAGAAATGGTTTTCCACCTAATAGTTCCCAATGCTTTACAAATAAATTCCAAACTATTCAAACTTAAGTACGCCATTCATATAAATAGAGCCCCCCCCCCCCATTGGCACAGTGGAATGTTTGCGGACTTACAACGCTAGAAACCGGATTTCGATACCCGTGATGGGCAGAGCACAGATAGCCCGCTGTGTAGCTTTGTGCTTAACTTGAAATAACCATATAAGTAAAGAAGTTCTCAGATTAGGAATTTCGACGCCCGTATGAATTTTGGAATAAACTAAAGAATCTATGCAGTTTTTAAAGGGCTAATACCGATTTCGTCTTGTTTTCACGAGTCTTGACTATTTTCAGAGATTTTTAGTTGTTTTAATAATTTGTTTGTTTATATTCTGAAATAAACTTTACTAAAGTTGTACTATTTCTTTATAATTTTGTTCTATTTGTTTTCATTTTTTTTCTTCGTGCTTAGAATTTATAATTGTTTTTTTTCTTATTGATAACGTTTATTGTTTTTATTACATGTTTGCGCTTTTAGTGAAATAACTCTAAGCTTTAAACACTTCTTACGTAGATTCACACTGATGTGGAAATGGAGAATGTTGATGAGACTGTTGAAAAGAAGAAAGAATCTAATAAGTTCCTCTGTGGATTCTGTGCGAAAGGTGGTTTTTCAACACTGGATTCATTACAGCTACATGTGCAAAATGAACATGTGCCAGCATCACGTGAAGACGTGGGCCAGTTTCTGCTAAATTCCCCGTCATTTGTTAATCTTTCTTCTTTAGCTCTTACGTGGCAGCAGCATCAAGTATATAGCAGTAAGGGAAACTTTACCTGCGAGTACTGCAATATGAAATTTGGTAGCGTTCACAGTCTTCAAAAACATACACTTACTGTTCATAGTTTTACGGATCTTTTATCAAAAATACAGGAAAACGTTTTCTGTTCACAGTGCAAGTTGGGATTTCCTAGTGCCGGTGCTCTTGCAGAACACATGAATACGTTGCATGAGGGGAGAAAAAACGAAAGTCCAAATAATGACCCAAGTCCATCTGCATCGAAAGACTCCATATTAAATACGCCTCCCGGCAGCAATGTCGGATCCTGGGATAAATCTTCCATGCAAACGAAATCTCAATCAACAAAAGAATTGCCAATCAATGAGACCGTTCCTCATTTCCCACACAACGGCCCTTTACTATGTAGTCAATGTAATGCAGCTTTTCCGGATTTTGAGTCTTTCCGAACTCACCTGAAAACGCATTTAGATGCAGTAATTCAAAAATATACATGCAGTGAGTGTGAGGTCGAGTTTCCCACGGAACAACAACTGGATGCGCACGTGATGACACATTTCTTATCAACGTCAACAGAATATGGTTGCAGGTGTTGTCTTAAGCTTTTCTCCAAACCAGATGAACTTCAGAAACATTTAATGGATATCCACGCCCACCATCTCTATAGGTGTTCCCTCTGTAAGGAAATATTTGATTCTAAGGTTAGCATTCAAGTTCATTTTGCCGTGAAGCATAGCAACGAATGCAGGCTCTTTAAATGCACGAGCTGCAATGCAGTGTTCCGTTCTGAAATGGAATTCCAACTACACGTTAAAGTAATGCACTTGTTCAAAATTCACCCTTTTCGTTGCTTACTTTGTGATCAATGTTTCTCAACGGAATATCAGCTTCAGTATCATATGAACACTCACAAAAAACAGTTCTCTTGCGCTGTATGTGATGAAGCCTTCCATGTTGAGTTTCTTCTCGATAAACACATGCAAGTTTGTCACAACAGTGAAGTTAAGGGTTCATCAGTGGACAGCCTAAATAACCAACCGTCCATATCTACTGACGGTGTACAGAATCTTAGCCTTAAGCCATCAAATCATAAACAAGAGACGCCGTTATCCTCAGTGGAATACAGAAAACATTTTAGCTGTGAAATATGTGACGGCATTTTCTCGTCAGAGACACACTTGAACTCCCATCGTCGACAAGTTCACAATGTCCGAACTTCAGGTTTTCAAAAGTCCGGACAAACAGCTTTTAGTTTGTTTTGTGCCTATTGTAACGAATCCTGTAAATCTCGTTCAGAATTGGAAAACCACATGAAAGCGCATATTGTCAGCCCCTCTAAACATAAATGTAACATTTGTGATGAGCTTTGTCCTACTGCAGCAACGCTGGCAGAACACAAGCTTAGCCACTGTAAAGTAATGACAGGAAGCATGTGTGTGACTTGCAAGAAAACTGTACAGAACGAAGAAGAATTTTACAAACACATTCAACAGCACAACGCAAATGGACTCCCAGTTCCGTGCGTTGTTTGTCGACAAACTCTAATGTCAGACGTAGAAATCCAAGTCCATGCTAAGTTTCACTTGAAAGCTTGTGATCCTCTTTATCCCTGCTGCGTGTGCGCAAAACAGTTTGAAGGTAACAAACTCATAATCACGGGGAAGCAAGACAACGGTCATACTTACATGTGTAAAGATTGTTTTCATGCGAGAAGCGAGGACCTGCGTTGTCCTGAGTGTAAGGTGAAATTTGAAACTGTGACCGCGCTAGAGAAACACAAGTTAACCCATAAGAAGACGTACCAGTGTATTAAGTGTCAGATGTCATTTGAAAGTGAGACAGAAATTCAAGCTCATGTTACTTCACACATGATACAAGAAGGGACCAGTCATGAGTGCAAGTTATGTCATACGGTCTTCGAATCTCCAGCCAAGCTCCAATGTCACTTGATTGAGCACACGTTTGAGGGTTGCAGCTGTTACACGTGTTACATGTGTAGTACAGTGTTTACAGCTCCACACTTGATCCAGCTACACATGCTAGAACATGGACTTAGCTCTCGGCCTTATGACTGCGCTCACTGTCACCAGAGGTTCTTCTTTCGCGCAGAGTTAGAAAATCATTCCCACATGCACAAGGAGAATATTGACAGTGGAAAACAGTTAAACTGTCCAGATTGTACCAAAGTATTTAATAACATTGTTAACTTTAACAATCATCGCAAGATTCACGAACAAAAGAATAACACTTTGAAGTGCTCATTGTGCCCGGAACTTTTTCATAACTCTGCAGACATGCAACAGCACTATTTCCGTTATCATGGAGATTCTGAGCTTGATGGTAAAAACAAATGTTTTCCTTGCACGGAATGCGGAAAGGAATTCCCCTGTCTCAGTAACCTTCAGGGTCATGTAAGGATTCACGCCCAGGGAACCACGTATAGTTGCCCAGAATGTAAAAAAGAGTTTGCTCTCTCTCGAAATCTAAATATCCACTTGCGTTCTCATAGTGGAGAGAAACCCTATGAGTGCCCCATTTGTAAAAAGCGCTTTGCTCGTAAAGAAAATCGAAAGGCACATCTAAAGTCTCACACTGGCCTTAAACCTTTCATGTGCCCACATTGTGGAAAAACGTTCTCTCGCAAATGTCATGTTAAGGAGCATATGCGCATTCATATCACTTCTACCACCCATCCTTGTGAACTCTGTACTGAAACCTTTCGATCGCTCAAGCAGCTAAAACGTCATCTTATGGATGTACACCAACAACCCTACGATCACGTGTGTTCTGTGTGTGGAGATGTTTTCAACCAATCAAAAAATCTTCAAACCCACATGCAAAACAAACATGACGTAAGACCAACAACTAGCGAAAACGATCTTGTAGAAGACCTGTCCGAGTTTTCTCCCAGTCAAAGTTCAGCATCGGGAGATATCAAAGATTTTGAAGGAAGTGAGACAAGTAGTTTAGTAGAAGAAGGAGACACCAGGGGTTCTTCGGTTTCTGCAGCACAGGATAACGTAACTCTTCCAACAGAAGTTGCAGCATGATTTCGAAAGGTTTAAACCCTTTTAAAGGATGGTTAGTTTGTGTTTGCCTCAAAAGTGACCTTCAGCAGAAACCTCGGTGCTGAATACCATTTTAGTTATCTGGAAAAAGTAAAAACAAAGTGGTGTATTGTAAATACTGAAGAGTTACTATACTTGTTTATATAATATTGTCTTTTGTGCAATTATGTTTTGTACTGAATTCCTATATTTTTGCATTCCCTGTTACAGAAAGCGGGGTGTTATGGATAATCCATTATTTATTGATTTATAAATACGTAATTGAGGTGAACCTTTCCAATGACGTTTCTTTTTCTATAAGGCAACAGTTTTGATTGTTGTTTTTGTGTAGATATGTCAAGGATAAGTCATTTGATACAACATTTCTTATATAATAATAATACCTCTTAACCGTGTTAGTCGTTTACTTTATTCAAAGGAGTAAGGGATGAAAAGTTGATTTGTTTGGGTTATGTTCCTTAAAGTTGGAGATCTCCTGTATAAGAAGAGTTGTACGCTTTATTGGTTCTGGTAAATTAAACATGAAAATTTGTCAACCAATACACTTGTCTCTTACTTGTTTTGCTCTTAAGAGTAATATATTACAAAAGCATAAACGGGTTCTATTACTCGTTTTTGTATCATGGCTATAAACAGATTCACTAGATTTGCGATCAGATATTACATGAAAAATATCATGTATTTTATTTACTAAATGGTAATGATTCTATTAGAGCCATAAGTACAGGTTTAGTTAAATATGTCAGCACCTTAGATCTCTCCGAAATAACTACAGAAAGCTAATGTATAAGAATGGTTTACGTATATTAATAACAGGTGTGCGTAACTGCATATGCGAGCCTTGGGCAATACATTTAGTTCACGGCAAGTTTTCGAACATTCGATAGTGCAATGCCACCAAATATGGACACCTCTAGGAAAATGTCACATTTGTTTTTCTGAGGAGGGATATAACCACAGTGACATTGCTATCATTGTGGAACCAAAAATCAGAACATTTCTAACACAATGCTCTTGATTGGTCTTTTTGGAAGTGGGATTATTCGATCAACTGAGTATTTAAGACAGCAACAGGCTCCATAGCAATGCTTTCACCTGTAAAGTGAAATTTAGGGTTAAGAAAGAGAACTCTTTGACCCCAAACGCCTTTTCGGAAAAGCTGAACATATCTCTTTTTCACCGTTAAAAAGAAAAAAACAACAAATATTTTATTTTCAAGATGGCTCATAAGCTAGATATTTATAAGCTTTCATATAAGCTTCAAAGTTTTTATAAATGTGACTGAAAAACTAGAACTACATCATTTCCGTTAGAAATATACATACCAAGTCTTCTAATGTTGATTCCATAAACTTGGTCCTTTGATCTGCTTAGAAGCTGACGTCCATGTAGAGTGGAGAATCGATGGGAAGTTTACCAAAACACATTACGTGCATAATCATGGTAATCGGAGCAAGTACGATTAACAACGGAGGAAGCAGTTCCAAAGAAAATATGGGACTTTGAACATAATCATTAAAATGTGCGATTAACCATCACTTTCATGACACGTTAAATATGAATGTGACAATTTTAAATTTCAAATAATAAAGTAACTCACAAATATTTTAGAAACGAAATAATGGCTTCATTTATGACTCATATTTAGTATATAAAATATGCCAAATAAAGATTTTATTTGAATATTTGTCGAAACCGGCGAGGTCTCGTGGTTATCGTGCTCAAATTGTAAATCTGTAAAAACGCGGGCAGAACCTTTGAGCCATGAGTGCACTACAAAGTGCCGTTAGCTAATTACTTGCCGTGCCTTTACAAAGCACATGGGCCAGTGCTTTCAAACTCCGGTTTCAAGTGGATGAGAATGACGCCCCATTCCCCCTAAACGGGATACCAGTTCATGGCAAGTTAATCTACAGCTAACAGCTGGTTGGACTGGAATAAGTGGAGTAAAGTGTTTGCTTAAGAACGCAACAGCATGACGTTGGACCAACCTCTGAACTCACAACCATCAGACCAGAGTTGGTGGTGGGTGCTACTGACCAACTGCTTTACCTCGTCTTACAGTTCAAAATTAGAGGTATTTTTATGCAGATAGCGCTTGTGTAAAACCTCTCGCAAAATTCTGAAACAAACTATTTTTTGGATACTAATTGGAATTTTAAAAGTATGATACTGCTACAATCTCAACAAAAGTCGAATAAAAAGTCTCAACACAACTTAAAGATCATAAATTTCTGGGCCCGGCATAGCCAAGTGGTTAGGGCACTCGACTCGCAATTCGCGGGTTCAAATCCCCGTCCTACCAAACATGCTCGCCCTTTCAGCCATGGGGGCGTTATAATGTGACAGTCAATCCCACTATTCGTTG